ATGCATAGATGAATTTATTTATTTTAACACTCAAAGTAGACAGCCTAATTCAAAACCCACAATAATATCAAATAAGATCCCCACAACTTTGAGAGTAATCACCCTTATCGAGAAGGAGTATGAGGGCAACAGGGTGTGGGATTTCTACTTATTCTAAAAGGCCGGGGAAGAGAGTTAGGGCACTTGATGAGTCTAAACTCACCTTTGTGCCACAAGTATGCTGGTGATGATGGAGCTTTGTGTGCCAACTCCCATCAGGAGTATTAAGCAGCAAGTTTCTCTTGTTGTTCTGGTAACGATTTTTTCCAACTTTCCTTATTATTATCAATATCTTTGTATATAAAGGTAGTCATGAAAGGTATATATGATAATGTTTTGTTTTTAGATCAACACATGCACTAAGAATGTTTTTATTGGAGAGTTTAAATTTATATTACTACTCCATTGAACACTATCAAATAATGGAGGCGAAATCTGCCAATTCATGTATTTTTTTTTAATTTCCAATAAAATAAGAATGATGAATATTAGTATCCATGTCGTTTAGCTTCACCTAACAATACAAGTCATTATACTTATGAGTAAAACTGCCCAATCAAAATGAGAATACAACATCATTTTGATTGCATTAACTTTCAGTAATTTAGTGACGCAACATGAAATTAATTTCCAATAAAAGCTCGAAGAATAAATGAACCAGACCCCGACTAACGCTTATTATGTTTCAATCTAAGTGCCTTGGCCACACTTAGATCACATTCTGCCAATTCATGTATATACAATTAAACATGTATATACAAAAATCAGGCAATCCATCTCCCAGAGCCACAGATACTGATTATAGTAGCAATTAGATCAACTAAGAATCCATATTAAGAATAAGAAATAACAAGATCAGTCTAATAGACATTTTCAAGTACAAATTAAGCAATCGTGAAAAGTAGAAGAAATAACGATTTATGCCAACAGGCAGAAATAGGAAGAGTCTGAAAGGAGAAAAATCGATGGAAAATTTGTGATGGTGCAAATCCGCATAGAGGATGATGGCGCAAATCCGCAAATCAGCTAATCGATGCTAACAAGATCAGTAGATGGAAGATATTGAGCTAGCGTATGTTCTAAGCTCATGAACCTGCGCTTTTTTTGGTTTACAGTCCGGCCAAAAGCTCCGATTGATGAATGTTTAAGTCCTGCAAAAAGCCCCAGATGCCCGATCGTCCGGAACCTGAGATTAGGTCATTTTTTGCTGCGCTTTGTGTATTCTCGTTTTTCAAATTTCAATTCATTTATCTGTCATTTCGTAATTAACCTTGTATTCTCGTTTTTAGGAAAATGTCATCTGACTTTGGAAATGGTTGACTTCCTTTTTTAAAGTGTGGGCAAATGAAAGTGTGGGCAAATAAAGTGTGTCAGCAAAGCACCTTTAACTAAACTAATGGGGCATACTTTTTCCTTCAGTAACAAAGACCAATATATTGTGTTATGTTTATACTTGAATATTATTATATAAATTCAAATAGAATTAGAATAGATTTCTTGTCACAAAAAAGTGTCAAGATATGCTAGTTATTGTAACACTTTTTTATGTGTCAACAAATATGTGTGTCAAGAAATGTAACATTTCTTGTAGTGGGATCTCGATGTTTAGGATCTCGACATTCTAAAGATTTCGAGATTTTTAAAAAATTTTATATTTTGAATGTTTCAAAGTTTGCAGTTTCTTGAAACTCGGAATTTTTCAAAACTTGACATTATTCGCAGTTCATCGAAGCTTTACATTATAGGATCTCTGAATGAATCTCTGCTTATCAAAGTTTTTTTTAAAAGTTTTCGATGTTTTGATGTTTTTCAAAGAGCAAGTTTTTGATTTTCTGAGGTTTTCGAAACTCCAAAGTTTTAGATGTTCCAAACATTTTGAAATTCTGAAGATTTCGATATTCTGATGTTTGTTTGGCAGGTGGATTTCGCCATTATTCTTCGAGGCAAACTCGAGATTAAGATCTCGAAGTTTAAACCTTGAGATTGTAATCTCGAGATTTAAACCTCGAGATTGTAATATCGAGATTTAAACCTCGAGATTGTGATCTCGAGTTTTAAACCTCGAGATTGTGATCTAGAGTTTTAAACCTCGAGATTGTGATCTCAAAGTTTAAACCTCGATATTGTCATCTCGAGATTTAAAGCTCGAGATTGTCATCTCGAGATTTAGTCCTGAATAGGTATTTTTCCCTAATTCATATGCATATTTTATATGAATGAATCTCAACTGTTGGATTTGACTATTTTGCAGTAAAAACACTCTATATTGCACTGAAATATGCAACCTAGTTTGGTGGTATTTTTTGAAAATTCCGTATTAGAGTCGTCTACCGCAATATGAAGCATTTTTGGTACAACATCATCGAATATTAGTGCAACATGAAACAGTTTTAGTGCAACATTGCAAAACTTAAATCTAACTTCAACATGAAGCTAATTTTAGTGCAATATCAAAAATTTAATGGTTGAGATTTATTCTCATTTCTCACATTAGATGCATTTCTACCTCGAACCAATATATATATATATATATATATATATATATATATATATATATATATACACACACACACAGAGAGAGAGAGAGAGAGAGAGAGAAGATCAGGTGAGAAGTAAACTCAACCCTTGGATTTGCATCTAATTTTACAACGCAGTAAATTATAGACTGAGTACAGGAACTTATAACCAATAAACCATAACCTATAAAGATCTCCATCATAATTACGGAAATGCCACCGCGCCAAAAAAATGAAGGTTTTTGGAGTTATTTTTTGCGGTCGCATTTTCGTAATTATTTTCGAGTGGGTCTATAAGTTATGATTTATTAGTTAAAACTTCGTGTTTTTAGTCTATAAGTTAAACTTCGCTGTTCTCAGGCTAAGGGCACTTCTCACCTGATCCGCTCCCTATATGTGTGTGTGTGTGTGTTTGTGTGTGTGTGTGTATACAGTAATGATACTGTCAGGCTGTCAGGCCGGCCTGAAAGGATTCTTCCTCTGGCCGATGGCTTTTGGGGCTCTTCCCGATAGAATTTTGTGATGAAATATTTTTAGCATGTTATACATCAAGTGTAGTTTATCCATATCAAATTTCAGCTAATGATTTAATCGGAATGACAGTCAAATAAATTGTTGAAACAAACAACGTTGTTTGTATATATATAAATCACAATTTATGTAAAGAATTTATTTGAATGCCTTACTTATTGAATTTGTAACTCAAATTTTGTATAAATAAACTAGACTTAATGAAGAATATTTTTAAAAAAATTCATCGAAAAATTCCAGCAGGAAGGACCCCAAATGGCCTCGGTCTGACACCGATTACCGTCAGGCCGGCCTGATACGAACTGCCCTCTCTATATATACGAAAATGTTCATGTAAGGTAGGCTTAATAGTTACAATTTTAGGCCTCTTTTATTTGAGGTGCTTCCGGGTCGAATTTTTTGATGAACATTGAAATTACATTGAATTTTGTTCTATCCTCGTCCGATATACGGCAGCTGCAATGTTAAGAAACCACACCGGAGATTTCGTAAAAGCGGTGATACTTTCTTTGCAAACAGATTCTTCCATTCATAACAACTTTACTGCTTTGTCTTTTTCTAAACCGCTGTGTTCAAGGTGGGCTAATATGATCCATGTATAGATTAGCAACAATTTATTTCACAAAGCTATTAAGGATATGTATTCTCCTTGGGTTGACAGCAACACTAATTTACAAATTAAAGAAAAGTTTGCTTTGGTTGAAGGCATTATATCATGTATTCCCAAGGAGGCTAACTTTGTGGCTGTTTTAATTTCTAACTTGTATCCCCTCCAAAGTGGTATAACTATGTTTTCTCGTTTGGGTACCCTCCTAGCTCAGGTTAAGGGAGTGATGGAGCTAGATAAAATTTCTATATATCCCATATGTCTCGAATTTTTAATCTTGTATTGCACATTTACTCTTTAATGTTTGTTTTCATATCTTTAAAGGGAGAACTATCAAATAAGCCCTCGAACTTTCATTAAAAGTGCAAATAAGCCCCTTTACCGGAGGCTTTGTCCGGCTGATGCCATTTGGAGCGGTTTCCGGTGGAATTTTTTGATTAAATTTTTTGAGCATCTTCTTCATTAAGTCTAGTTTAACCATACCAAATTTCAGCTAAAAATTCAATCGAGAAGACAGTCAAATGATTTTCTGAAATATACTGCGCTGCCTAACTGCACAGTTATCTTCAAAAAATCATTTGACTGCCTTCCCGATTGAATTTTTAGCTGAACTTTGGTATGAGTAAACTAGACTTAATGAAGAAGATGCTAAAAAAATTTCATCAAAAAATTCCACCGGAAACCGCCCCAAATGGCGACGGCCGGACAGAGCCTCCCATAAAAGGGCTTATTTGCACTTTTTATGAAAGTTAGAGGGCTTATTTGGTAGTTCTCCCTATTTTTAACGTTAATGTATTTCTAAGATTTATTTTGCATGTAACTTAGAATAGGTATGTCCGTTCCCGATAGGTCTTGGTATTACATCCCTTCTCCCGTTGTATTTCTTTTTCTATGTTTCTAAAAAAAAATTGAAGTTTTAGTTCACATGTATTGTGGTTGAATGTAATTTGAACTTTCAGTTCACATGTAATACTTTTTAAACAAAAAAATAACATTACTTTCATATTGGGCAAACACTCTAGCGAGCAAACATACATATAATTAAGTGTATAGTTCTTTTAATTTTTCTATAAACTTATCGGCTATGCATGTTCACTAATAACATCAAAATCCATAAAATTTGATGCTAAATAGACCTATATTTTATTATCAGCTATGATTGGATCTTGTATTTGACTTTATCACATTTTATATATTAATCACTAAAGTGACATAAGCTTTATTAAAATAACATGGGTTATTAAATTAACTAAATCTAGCCTATTTTCTGGCTATATAGCCATTTCTTCCTAATGTTATTTAATATTAAATTTAAATATTTAAAAATAACCATTGGAAAATTAAAATAATGGATAAGATTTGTCATGTCTTACGTCTTTTAGAACATTAATTATACTTGAATAATCGATACGAGACTACAATAATAACTCTTAATTTCTAGTTGAGGTTATTATACTATTTTTCCGTCTCTTAGAACAACTGAGTTTTTAGAACAAAGTTATAAGCCCTCAAACTATTTTGACACTCTCAGATTTATTAAGAGCATTTTCTTCAGTTTTGTGGCTCGCCAATTCCACAAAAGACTTCACGCGGTCCTCCACCTTTTCCTCAAATTCTTCCACCTTATCAATTAGCTCTTCTAACTTTTCTGCTTCCTTGTCCACTTTCTCAGCCGCATGTTCCACCAAAGCCACCACGTCTTTCAATTTTCCGGCCGGAAGATTCTCACCTATATCTTCGGCCACTTTGTCCACCACCTCCGCCGCCTTCTCTAAACTGTGGACCACTTCTTCCGCTTGTTTTATAGAATCTGTAGTGAACCCACACAATGTCAAAGAATTAAAATTGGAAGATTAAAAAGCGAACAACAACACGTGTAGTAATTGAATTTAATAATTATTAGATGATGACTTTGGAACGTAGAAAATTTGATTAATTAAGGTGATCAAGGGTAAAACATATCCGCCTTTAAACTGTCAAAGATAATATCCTAAGTTTTTCAAATGTAAATTAAGCTACTACGTACGATAGAGAATCACTTTTATATATTGGACGTTGTTGAAAAGATAATGAAAACCAAATCCGAAAAACACATGCGTAAATATACGAATAAAAAGTAAATCTTACTTTTAATTTGCGTAAGAGACCCTAATTTGTGACGGAGAAATGGTAGAATCACAGATATCAGAATCCCTATCAGCCAACCCTTTCTGCAAATAGGAAAATTAAATGTTTAAAGCAGAGTAATTAATTACGTAACTTGACCATAAGAGGAAGGAAAAATCCAAAATTAATGCGGCGTTGTGAAGATTAATTTCCGATCAAATGTAATTACTTCTTTTGACACAAAATTATTATATAAGTATGATGTTCAGAAAGGGGGTTGTAATATACTCTCTCCGTTCCCAAAAATACTTCACACTTTTCTTTTTGGGCTGTTCCAAAAAATACTTCCCAAAAAAGGGGGTTGCATTCAAGAACTCTGATCGGAGAGTGTAGCCATGCGTGTCCGAGGGCCGAGGGGTCAACCCGTGCTATAACCAACTTCAATTTTGATAAAACCTTTAGGGTACCTTTGATTTGGGTTTATCTCACATTCAGACCGGAATGTGATGCCTGGAATGCTAGATACCCATGTTTGGTTCACAGTTTTGAAAAAAGATCGGGAAAATTACATTCCCGGGAATTTAATATGGAGGGGAATGTTATACCCTTCCATGCGTTAGGTTATCTGACATTTCCGGAGATGATCTAATTTTCTTCCGAAAATACCCTCAATTAATTATCGCTTTTCATTTAATTTCTCTATGTATTCAACTTTTATCAAATTTGAATTTTTGTGATTTTATAAAACTTTTAATGTAGTTTCTAAATGTGTAACTTTTATTTACTAAAAATAATCTTATTATTGACAAGAATTAGTTAATTTTAGGGGGTTTTCCTTAAATATTACTAAAATATAAGTTATGGATAAAAATATAACTACGGTTAATATGCATAGTCACTATGATGTAAAGTTGAACACTATCATGATCAATAAAGTTACTATTATAGTCACTAAGTCATATTTGTGTCCATTACCTTCGTTTCAGTTATATATTTGTCATTATTTCTTAATTTTATAGTCACTCAAATATCTAGATTGTGTGACAACCTTTTAAGTGAGACAAATGAAGTATGTTTATTTAATTATATTCGAATGTCTATTCTTGTTATTTTCATAATTTTTTTTCCTTAACATTTAAATTTTTTAAGGTATTTATGTCTGTAGATTATTTAAGTTTTTAATGAGTAGATTTCAAAATTTAATGGCAAAATTGATCATTTTTTCTTTAATTTGAAAACAAGTTTTACGAATAACTTGAACATTTTTTAAATTTATTTTCATTGAAGTGATAATAAATATATTTAGATTGCTATTTGAACAGAGTTTTTTTTCATTTTTGTATTGGATCTACAACCTCTTACGATTAAACCTACTTAAAAATAATTCAATTAGATTTCATTTTATTTATTATCAAGATATTTCATTTTTTTGTTTAATTTTTAATTACTTCATACATAGATTGTAATATTTTTATTGTGTTAAGAAAAAATATTTAAAGGGCATTGAGGTAATTCACCATATCTGTAATATAAGATATCTTTTAACCAAATAAATTAATGTCACATTCCCTTAACCTTAACCAAACATAAATGGGAATAAAGTGAATACATTCCCATCAATCTAACATACCCAGCAATCTGAGATTCCTATGGTAATCTGACATTCCTTGAACCAAACGCACCCTTAATATTTTATGTTAAAAAAATCACTATGAAAGTTTATAAAAATTACTACCCCCGTACCTCTTTTCGGGTGGACTTTTTCAAGTTCAAAGTAGGTGGGGATTAACAAAAATAAAAATTATGTTGTTGAGGTTTGTGTAGAGGAGAGAGAATTGAACAGAATCATAAATTAGTTGTTTTAATAAAAACGTGGCATAATTTTTTGGATCAATCAAAAAGAGATAGTTGGCAAAATACAATGGACAGAGATAGTAATATTGATGAGTTTTTAATGGGAAAAGTATTAGATTCTCAAAAGTGGGAAAACTATTTATACACGATAGTAAAAGACTAATGGGACGTTTGAATCTGCTTCTTAAAACTGAGAGAGTAGAATAAGATATTGAAGTGTTTGACAGAAAATGAAGAAATAAATATAGATGCTTATAATTTACTCTCGATAGCAATTTTTAGAAGTTGAGGATTTGGGTGAGACCAGATTGTCAACACAGATTCCAATTCTACTTCTGCTTTTAAAAAAGAAATAGGAGCATAATCAATTCCAAACACCGCTAATGCTAGTTCATAAAATAAGATTAGACATGATCTTAAAACATGATCACACGTAAGGAACTAAATACCCCTCTATTAAAATAACAGTCTCAATTTCCTTGTATCAAATAACTATTCGGATTTCCCCTTTTAGCTTGTTATGAACTTAAAGTGAATTACAACATCATCTCAAACTACTAAAATCAAATGAGACAATTATTTAGATACATGGTGGAACCATAAATAAATTGGAAATGGTGCTCTTATATATACACAGTAAAAAAATTTACAAAATAATTTTTTATAAGGGTAAAAGAAAAACGAGTAAAAATTAATCATTACATATATAGAGTGATAGCATCAAGATAGGCTTCTAAGGAAGAAAAAGGAAACACATTATGACATCTATACATATCATATGTCATCATATCCGAAAAAAGATGAAACACATTGCCTCATTTTGTGAAATAAGTGGTACTTAGAAATCATTTGGTGATCCTTATTTTCTATTTATCAATTTTCTCTGTCAATTATAATCAAATACGCAACTTTTTTATTCCAACGCCGAATTGTGTAAAATCAAAATAAGTAAGGTTAAAGTTATTTTTATGACTGAATTGATTGAATTTATTGAAAATGACAAATCTTGCTATTTTTCATATATTATTTTTATATTTCATTAATAAAATATACTTGTATTTTAAATATAGTTTTTCATAAATCAGCAGAATAGATCAGATCATTTATTTGAACCAGATTTACCAGAATAATTTTCTCTCTTTAATTATCTAACTCACCCTAATTTCGTACAACCATTCTTGATGTACACACTCTTGTAAACACCTTATACACACCATGTTTGTGAAACTTTTTTTTTGTCTGTGAATCCGGTTTACAGACAATATTTTGTTTGTGCAAAACATTGTTTGTGAATCGATGTTCACAGACATAAAAAAAGCTTTCACAGACATAGTTGTGTACAAAAATGTGTATAAGAATGTGTACAAACAGTATTTTTGAATTTCGTATTGTGACTACACGCGTACCAATGGGTGCGGAACTCGTGGGTGAGCAATACCCCTTTTTCACTTTTTGAGTTGAGTTTTTCTACTTTGTAATAATTTAAGTAGCTTACAGTGGATTAGGATCTGGGAAAGATCCAGCAGCTGCTGGTTCAATGCCGGCCCCGGCGCTAAAGCATACCCCAAAACTTCTGCAAGTAGTATTCGAAAAAAAAAAATTGGTTAAGTTTAATCAGTACCAAGTTTAACAAAGTAAAAACATTATTAATATCTGTACAGAGGGAACCACATATTGTTTACTTAAAAAAATGAAAAGCTTATAGAATAACAACAACAAAAAGTTGATAGAGTTTTAATGGACGAAAAGAGTATTAATAAGAAATTATGACAAACATATAACTAAAATAAAACAAATAAACAAAAATATGACTTAATAATTATCATAGTAACTTGACAAATTGTTCAAAATAGGACTAAAAACGTTTGTATATTTCAAAATAGGTTTATCATGTTTTTATTCTCAAAATAGGACTAATTACTTTCATATTTTGACAGTACCAGACTTTAAACATGATAGTATTTTCCAAACTTGGTAGTAATTACTCTTATTTTAGAATAAAAACATGACAGTCTATTTTGGAATTTTCAAACTTTTTTACTCATATTTCGAGAATTTTACCTAATAACTTTAGTGACCATCTATTAAAAAACCTTTAGTTATCGTGATTATATTCAATTATACTTCTCTCTCCGATTCTTATTTAAGTTTACATTTTATTTTTTTGAATGTCCTAACAAAATTTATACTTCCTTATTTGACAAACAAATATACACCAAAATAGTGCCAAAACAGTGTCAAACAATTTCAAAACAACGTATTCCACAGTACAATTTACCCCTCAGTAAATTTATTTTTTTAATATGTGTGAAATCAAAGTAAGAACAAAAGGAAGTATTATACTACCTCCATCCCATTCAAAGGTTTTTCATGGGAAAATGAGACGATTATTTAGACAATAGTTAAATATACTAATTTAAGTATATTTTGAGAAATAATTTTGATAAGTATATAATATAATGAGTTATATATGTATTAGTGTAGTATTTGATAATTAAATCGTTTTTTAAGAGTGTTAATTGTTTCCTGAAATAGAAAATGAGAACCTTTAAGTGGGCGTTCAAAAAAAGAAAACATGAACCTTTGAATGAGACTAAGGAAGTATTGATTATACATAGTAATTATAATAATGTTCCATTCGTACCGGTCCCGGGTTCGAATCTCTGCAACTGCGATGAGGGGTTACTATGCTAAAAAATGCATAGGGCCTCTGCAAATACCGGGGACAGAGCCCCACTCTCTATCTGTCAGATTGGGATTATAGTCCAACTTACATCCTCCCAACGTACTATCCGGTCGGGGTTGAGGGGCCCTCAGGGATGGGGTGTCATCCTTTTTTTATAATAATGTTCCATATGTCCTCTACGATTCTTTACACCTTTTTAGATGTACGTACACAATATTCTTTTCATTTTATTTTATACTCTCTCCGTTTCTGCAACAAGTTCCACCTTTTCTTTTCGGGCAGATTCAAAATTAAGTATCACTTTCAAACATTTCCTTATTATCTACATCAAAACAGTGTCAAACAGTGCAAAACAGTGTTCAAACAGTCCCAAACAGTGCCAAACAGTAAAGTCAAATTTTTTTTCTTAATATGTGTGAAGTTAAATGTGAAACTTGTTTAGGAATCGGAAGGAGTACAAAATTTGTGTGGTTAACATTCATCTATTCATCTATATTTTTGCTTACTCACTCTGAATCATATATTCCACTTTATTTCCACTGCATAAACTTCGATGCAAGTCAAAACGGAGGAATTTTATGGACGGATGGAATATTTTTATCCATTACTTATATTTCGGTAATATTTAAGAGAAAATTTGGGGTGTTTGGAGCTATTTGATAAAACTGCTTCTATTCTTTGAGTAATAGAGTAAACCGTAGAACTTGTTAGGAGTGTTCCAAATTACTTCTAGAAGCAGTTTTTCAAAGTTGAGGAAGGACTTCCGGGTGTTCCCGTTTTGATTTGCTATTTAAAAACAAAACCATAGTCAATTCCAAACACCTTCCATGACCATCTATTACTAATGTGCAAATATAATCTACGAACCTCTTAGATGTGGCAATGTGATAACCACTGGGCAAACATTTGCCAGTTTTAAGAAGTGAAGAAGAGCCAAGATGGTAAAACCCTCCCAAACCCAACCTCTTTGAAGAGTTTGTCGGCCTAGAATTAGGGTTTCCGCTCGACGAAAACCCGGGAGGAGAAAAACTGCCGGAGAAGCCAAGTGAGGAAGCTGCCATATATTGATCTGGTCGAATTGAACGGTTTGGACCTTGCACAAATATTTATTTTGAAATGGATCGGACTAAAATACTCGAAAATTGCATTTGAATCTTTACTTTATTCCAGCCTTACGGGTAGTTGATGATGATGATTTAGAAAATATTTTAATGAAAGCCTAGGTATAGGTTTATATAGGACCTGAGAAATCTCAATTTCCACGTTTATTTCATGACGTTATACTTTTGTGTCAATTATTGACCGTCATGAAAACATGAAAACAATTACTCCGTATTTCCTTAAAACTTCGGTAACTTTACTTTTTGTTTGTCTCATTAATTTTGTCACTTTCTCTTTTTAATAAAAAAATTGTGCTTTCAATTAATTCAGCGTCTTTTGCATAAACCTCAATCATACAATTTTAACTTTTTAAATATTCATGTTAGTTAAACTTAACCAAGTTTTAAGGGACAGAGAGAGTAATAGTTTAAGGGTGTATTGAATATGATTGTGGTGAACTTTTTTAATTCATGGATTTTTTAAAAAGTCCATGGACTTTTAAATTCATGAACTTTTTTTATGAATAAATTTTATTAACTTTTAAATTCATGGTTAAGTTGATGGACTTTCAAAAAATTCATAAACTTTTAAATCCGGACCCCAACTGCCAGTTGTGGGTCCGCCTCCATCTCCGAAGTTCGTCATCATCGTCATCGGACAGATAAGCGCCAACAAAATAACTTTTTTTTACAAGAGAACTAGGGGCAATCAATTATATTAATGAATTAATTAATTTAGAATTAGGGATAGAAATGTAATATTTAGTCATAATTAAGGAAAATCAAATTGAACATATGGGCTTAATTTGAGAAAAAATGTTACTCCCTCCGTCCCAATTTACTTAGCCAAACTTGACTTTTCAAGTCAACGGTGCCTAACTTTGATCAATTATTTTAACTAATATATTTATGCAAAATTTAATAATTTTATACTTTTATGATAGTGTTTTTAACAAAGAACATTTTCATATCATTTTCATATTATCAATACTTTCTCTATATAAATATAAAGAAATTGTCCTAAATAGGACTAATACTAAACTCAAATGCACAAATAGGACCTTAAGTCCTATCGTGAGTAATTTCCTCTAAAAAATATGATAAGAAACAATTGAAAAAATAAATGAAACTAATGTAATTTATCTAGCAACATAAAGTCATACAATAAAAATTGAAGCATAAATATTCAAATTTATTTTTATTAAAAAGAAAACTCAAAATTCCGAGAATGCTCAACAATCTCAATCTCTTGATGATTAGTTATTATACGATAGTATTACACAACTCAATGTTTAAGAACGTTAATCGTTACACAAGTGTTACACTCATTGCTACATGTAGTACAAACTACAAATATAGGTGCAATTGAGTTTTTATTCTTAATAATTGTTTTCTTTTCATTTTCAGCTTGTTAATTTTTTTTACTTATTTATATCTAAGTGTTTATTAGTTTGAATTTATATTTTATGTGTTAACGGGTTTAACGATGAAACACAATAATAGTTAAAAAAATCTTAATGGTTAACTGACAACGTACCAAAATTACAACAATGTAATACTATCGATTCTTATATGAGTTCTTCAAAAAACTTTTACAACCAAATCAATATGGGATTATTAGTTCTTCAAATGTTCCTAATTTTCTTTCATGGACTGAACCGATCTCATCCCTACAGTTTTCTTCGTAAGACGATGTATAAAATATCAAATTCTTAAGTTTTTTAGGCTAAAGGGTCAAATAGACCTCTGTACCAAGCATGTAAGATCATTTCAGTCCTTAAACTAAAAAAAAGTTTGATTGGCACCTTGAACTGGCAAAAAATGCTTTAAATTTCATTTTTATGGGTAACCAACCAGTCATCCGCCACGGCACCGGTCTTATTGCCACATGTGCATCTGAAGTTGAAACAAAAAGTTCAAATAAGCCCCTGAACCCGTCATAGTTGATCAAATGACCCCTTAAACTATTAAAAAGTGTCAAAATTATAATAAATCAAAAATAAAAGTAGAAGCAAAAAAAATATTAGCCAATTATCAGATTGGTGACGTGGCACAAATGTTGGACGATTTGTGATCCCAATAAATAATTAGCCAAATATGCAACAAGATCTATGCGCACTTGTAACAAGAAGACAACAGAAAAGTTCACAAAAATCTTTGGTGAGAAGAAGAGACAATTGCAAAAAATTATTGTAATAAGAATGAGTTAAAAGTCCATAAGAATCTATAATTTTTTAGAAGTAAATAAGAATGTATATGGAAGTTTGAATACGTCTATACTTTTATAGACTCTTAAAAGTCTACATTGAATAAATCTATACTTTTGTAAACTTTTAAAAGATCACATTAAATACATCTAAACTTTTAAAATCCATTGACTTTTAAAATTTTATCATTAATACGGTAGACCCCCTAGCTAGATTCATTGGCAACGTATAGTAGCTAGCGAAGTAAATGTGACATTTGAGGCGTTAACAACTTTTTTTATTTGAACCAAAAGGATTAGTTTCCGATATACAACAAGAAGTGTTTCGATTGTAACATTGTGGAAGCAGCCCATGATGAACATGATGCTACTCCTACGGGACAAAGTAAAAATTATCCTAAGTATGACTAAAACTAATCAACTTTCCCAATCTATGATCTCATTTGTTTGTTTTTTCAAAATAATATTTACATTCATAATATTTATTTATTTATTTAATTAATAATTTTTATGGACTAATATGCCCTTAGATTGGTATTTTAAAACCCCAACTTTCTACTCGTTTTCTAAAAAACTTAGTCGTTAGCCCGGGTCGCTGCGATACCGCCCCTCCATCGCCATGGCACCCACTGCGCCGCCTCCATCCCCTGGCCTGCATAGTGCGGCCTTTGTCTCCAGGCCTCCAGCGCTCTCGCCGCTCACATGTTGCGGCGCTGCGGTTCTTCCCATGTTACAGTACCGATATCATTAAAATGTCTAGCTATGCGCCTTCCCGCGGCCGCCACAGTTGTCTCCATGTCTGTTTGACGTGGCCGGCTGTCTCCATGTCGCACCGCTGCCGTGGCGATATCTATTTTTCTTTTGTGAAATTAGGGTTTGTGAACATCGACAGTAAACATGAACAATGAAAAGCATGGAGCATGACATTAGATAGTGTTTTACATGGACAGTGAATGAATGCATTGATGAAATGTCTTGTGCAGTGAATTGAAGGCAATAGAGCAATAACAACGGCACGAGATGTAATATATTTAATTGGACTTAAAATACTAATTTAAAGTTATTACATCTAAAACTAAATACAAAAAAAAACTATAAATAAATTCCTAACATGGATGAGAAGAGAATTAATGTTGGCAGAAAGTGCAGTGATTCTGACTCGATGTGCAATAATGTTGTGCAGTAATATCATGCAGTAACTACAATATAAAGGGCAATATTTTTAATTGGACGAAAATGGTGTACAATACACATTTTTGAACTATGGGTGTTTTGGTCATTAAACATTTTAATATGAACAAATACTAATGTTTATTTTTTCTTTTCAGCCATACAAATGTTTTAGCAGGATGAACAATTTATTATTTTTGTTTTTCGAACATAGCTAGTCATATTTAGTGAAACTCAATATGTTTTATCATATCCCGACAAAATTTCCTAGACAAAAATGTGTGTAATGAAGGCATGGACAATGAATGAATGCATTGATGAAATGTTTTGTGCTGTGAATTGAAGGCAATAGAGCAATAACAACGGCACGAGATGAAATATATTTAATTGGACTTAAAATACTAATTTAAAGTTGTTGCATCTAAAACTAAATACAAAAAAGAACTGTAAATAACTTCCTAACATATGGATGAGAAGAGAATTAATGTTGGCAGAAAGTGCAGTGATTCTGACTCGATGTGCAACAATGCTATGCAGTGATATCATGCAGTGACTGCACTATAAAGGGCAATATTTTTATTTGGACGAAAATGGTGTACAATACATATTTTTTAACTATGGGTGTTCTGGTCATTAAACATTTTAATATGAACAAATATCATTGTTTATTTTTGCTTTTCAGCCATACAAATGTTTTAGCAGGATGAACAATTCATTATTTTTGTTTTTCAAACATAGCTAGTCATATTTAGTGAAACTCAATATGTTTTATCATATCCCGGCAAAATTTCCTAGACAAAAATGTGTGTAGTGTTCACTCATGAACAATAATTCATTGTTTTTTTCTTGTCCTAGTAGTAGGGTGATGTAGCCGCATGTCAGTCCAAATGTAACTTGTTTAATATGAAGTATAAGAAATAAAACATTTATTTTAGGGGGAAATACTATAAATACCCCAATCTTTGACAGAATGTGAGATAAATTCCCTAAACTAACATATGTAATATACAATACTCCAACTTTATATAAGAAGTTATTTTGCACCATGATTATAAGTTTTTTATAAAAATAAATATAATGCAATAAGTACACAAATTAAAATGCTCTAGGCTTTATCTGGATGTAGATTTGGAATATATCTTTGCCTCTTTGGCTAGAATTCGCCAAAATCTATAGGGGATTTGTAACGGTTTTAGCATGGATTCGTGAATCTCTGTCAAAGCTGTTCAAAAATTTGTGCCAATGCGGTTTTGGAACAAGTTATTTCTAGTTATGTTTCGTGCTAAACTCGATCAATTGGTATTACTTACGTGGCAACACCGTTGTTTTTGTAGTGGTTTAGGGAAATTATTGAAAAAGAAAATCCAGTATCAAAATTCAAATCTAGATTATTTAGATTATTTAATTCAATTTTAATTCTTGCAAATATGATACGCTTTATTTAAAGTCCATGCATTTTTTTTGTTTTTCATCCTAATATATATTATTTTATATTTAGTTTATCTCTAACTCCAAACCTACTTTATTTTGAAAAAATTGTTGTTAATTGCATAAATTTGCTGGAAATTGAAATAATATGATATTTATTTTGAGCCAATAAAAAAAGTACACATGAATTGTCCGTACTCCGTTTTTCGCTTGACCACCTCCACCACCTTCTCTAGACGGTGGACCACTTCTTCCGCATGTCCTATAGAATGTGTAATGCACCCACTTTTTTTTTTTGTAATGCACCCACACAAAGTAAAATAATTAAAATCGGAAGATTAAA